CACAGGCACACTCCCACCATGATACTGCAATAGTGTGAGCACAGGCAATAGTGTGAGCACAGGCACACTCCCACCATGATACTGCAATAGTGTGAACACAGGCACACTCCCACCATGATACTGCATGCACGTGGCACTTGGAGAACCATCGCCAGGCAGTTCTCTCCTTCCTAGGGACTGAACTCAGGATAACGTCGAGCAGTGCCATCTTGCTAGTCTTTTTGTTTATTTTTTGAAAGGATCTCACCCATTAAGGGCTGCCCTCAAACTTGGTGTGTAGATGCCTGGTCCTCTAGCCTCCTCCTCCCACATGGACCACCTTAAGTTTGAGACAGGGTTTCTCTGTATAGCCTTGGCTGTTCTGGCACTCACTCTGTAGACCAGGCTGGCCTGGAACTCAGAAATCCTCTGCCTCCCAAGTGCTAGGATTAAAGGCATGTGCCACCACTGCCAGGCTTCAGTTAATTTCTTGTTGCTGTGACCAAATACTTGACAAAAAACATTTTGTGGTTTGTTTTTGTGTATGTGTTTTCAAGAGAAACAACGTTTCTCTGTGTAGCCCTAGCTGTACTGGAATTTGATCTGTAGACCAAGCTGTCCTCAAACTCAAGAGATCTGCTCCTCTTCGCTTCCAGAACACAGAGGCTAAAGGCATTCGTCACCACTGCCCAGCTGAAAAGAACTGAAGTGAGGAAGGATTTGTTTTGGCTTAGAGCAGTGGTCCTCAACCTTCCCAAGGCTTTCACCCTTTAGGACCCTGTAATACAGTTCCTCAGACTGTGGTGACCCTCAACCATAGAATTACTTCTGTTGCTGCTTCATAACTAATTTTCACTACTGTTAAGAATCATAATGTAGAGCCGGGCGGTGGTGGCACATGCCTTTAATCCCAGCACTTGGAAGGCAGAGGCAGGCAGATTTCTGAGTTCGAGGCCAGCCTGGTCTACAGAGTGAGTTCCAGGACAGCCAGAACTACACAGAGAAACCCTGTCTCAAAAAAAACAAAAACAAAACAACAACAACAATAAAAAAGAATCATAATGTAAATAACTATTTCCCAATAATTTTAGGTGAGCCCTGTGAAAAGGGTTATTGGACACCCTAAAGGGGTTGAGATGCACGGGTTGAGAACCACTGGCTTCAAGGCTTAAAGGGCTGTGATTGCTCAAGTAGGCAAGGACAGCAATATGGCCTGTGGTGGCAAACGAGCTGCTGGAACCCCTTGCTTCCTCACATCTTGATGGAGCGGGAAGAAGAGACTGGGTAGGAAGTAGGGCAGGGCTCACTCAGTCATCCACTTCCTCCAGCAAGGCTCCACCTCTCAAGTGTCCAACAGCCTTTGAGAAACAGTGCCACCAGCCGAGAACACACGGGAGACATTCATTCTGTGATCTGGAGAATGATCTACAGTAACCATATGAACCAAGTGAGTGAATTGATTAAGTACATAACTAGCCAAAGTTTTAAAAAAAGAAATGGCATACGCTTTCTCTCTAGATGACTTTCCTGTGACTGAACTGCCTTCTCTTCCCCACTGCAGATATTTTTATATCGTGGGAAAAGCAATAGCAACTTCTGTTGGGAATGTATTTGCAGAGTTAAGGACCCAAGTCCATGCCCGGATGAAGACTTGAAGGACACTTCAAGGTCTGAAATGGACGTGAGGACCCTGTTTCTGCAGCCAGGGTAGCAGTGAGTTCAAGTAGAGCATTGGCCAGTATCTTGTACACTGCATCAGTTTATACCCAAACCACAGCAGATCCCGGGTCTTATTTTCAGGTTTACCCGTTCTCTATCACTTCATCTCGCCTCCTTTCTCACCTGAAGTCCTCTGTATTTTCCAAATCCATTTGCCTCCGTGAGAGCTGTCACCCACAGAACAACTAACATTGCATTAGAAATTCAAGAATTAGTCGATCTCAAGCTTCAAAATCTCATTATCTGCCAAATACTAGCTGAACTCCCCGCGATTAAACCCAAACTTGATCCTTCTTTGAACACATCTAGGTACTAACAAAACTGGGCTTCTACCCTCATCTAAAACTCCTGCTCCTCCCTCCACTTGGGCAGTGGAAGTGGCTGCTGATGGTCACAGGGCATTCACTGTATGTTGAAGACCTCCTTCCCTTGTAACAAGCCGTTTCCAGGAAAGCCTCCTTGTCCTCCTCTTCTCCAGTCTCAGGCTCTCCCCGGAATGTTTCCATATATCCAGGATAGCACTTGTCATCCTGTGTTGGTGCAAGAGCCTATATCAATCCAATACTACACATCCCTCCCTTTCTCTACCTCTGTATTAATTACTTCTCCCCTAATGGAACATAATACCTGAAAGACACAACTTGAGAAAAGACAATCTTGTTTGGCTGATAATTTAGAAGATATGGTTCAACATAGCAGGGTTAACACGGTGGTTGAAATGGGTTGGTCCATGGCAAAGGGAGCTAGGAAGCAGAGAGCTTGGGTGGGGACTGAGTAGGCTGTTGTTCTCAGCATCCCCCTTCCCAAGACTAGGACTTACCTCCTAAATATTTTACAACCAGCTGCCACCAAGTGTTCAAGCATGTGCCTTCGGGGAGCTTGACTATAAAATCATGACAACTTCTTTCTGTGACTTTGGAAGACTCTAAAATAGGCTCACAAAATTGAGATTCTTCCTTCTCAAGCAACAAGGTTGTTTCATTTTGGACATCAAGGAAGTTGACCTGGGTGAGGAATTAGAAATTCGAACCAGAATCACAAAGGAGAA